CCCCCTCCCCCCCCTCCCCCCCCCCCCCCCCCCCCCGAAAAAAAAATTATTAAATGTTTATTTGTTATGTTGACTGATTGGTCCAAATTTAATTTCTTCTCAAATAAATAATTATAGAAACCACACACGATTCTATTTTTACCCAATACACTTCGAAATAATATTTTTAAAAAAATATTATTTCATCACATCTTTCTATTTAAATCAACACCAGGATCCAACTAAAATTCATACTCGCACTATCTGCTTGTCCATCTAAAAAAGACTATATATTTTAATATAAAATTTTCTATCAATTATTCAAATTGTCTTGTTCATTCCCTCTTTTATTTTGTTTAATTTCTTATTATTTATTGAGTCAAATTTGTTAGCGTTGGAAAGAAGACTCGAAGACCTTTAATTTGATAGGTCATGAATCACCTAAATTTTTATGTGCTAAAATATATGATCGTTTGACGTTAACTCATAACTTAAGAAAACCAATGGGTGACTTAAACAAATTTCTCTTTAGTTCTTTTTCGAAATTAAAAGTGTTACATCTAATGACCTCAAACACCTAAAAAAGTTTAAAATCACTTAAAAAAATTTTGTTCACAGTGAAAAAGGGTTTGAGTCTAGAAATTTTCGGGATGTTACAGAAAATCCATCCAACTGAGTGATAGTAATACAAGTGACTTGCAATTTGTTTATATTGTATTTCCTCAATATTGTGCTCTATTTTTAGTATGATGTTATAGTATTTTATATTTATACAAAACACCGCTTACAAAAAATTTTGCGTATACCAAAGTATAATAAAGAGTTACATGTTTCGTATAAATATTTTTACAATATTTTTATATATATAATTAAATTTATAATTAGGTTTGTCAACGAATTAGTAATTGAGATTTGGCTATTGAAAAACCTATATCCATTCTTAGTCCTATCAACATTCAACATCGTTGAACAAATCAATGACATATATAAAAAAAAAAGTTATAAGACATAATCAACATTTGAAAAGGTTAAAATTATTAGTTTTACAGGTTGATACATATAGCCTAAATATTACACATAAATTGATAAAAAAAAGTTGCTTTACCAAACAACATAAGCAAAATGGAGATCAAGAAAACCTTAAGGATTGTTGTCTTCTCCATTTTCTTTTCCAAGTTTTGTGATGGCAAAAGAGTAATAAACTATATATGTGATTGTTATTATTGATTCTAATTGTCATTCTTAGCAATGTATTTATAGAGAAACAAAGGCATCTAGTTGATAGAGAAACAATAACATAGAAAAAAGAAATTTAATGTATTTTCCCTAAATTAAAGAAGTCAAGTCAAATACTAAGGTTACAGAATACAAGTAATTTAAAATCATTAATATGGTCAAATAATGATTTTTTTAATGGAGAAATTATTTATTTTGTAAAATGAGTTAGTTTGTCTTTGCTATTTGAGAAGTATAGTTGTCAGTGCTAGGCCCATTAGATTCGTCTGGCCGAACCTGTGATT